ATTCCCTATAAATCCCGGCAGGAATTCCCTGTAAATCCCAGCAGGAGGAATTCCCGGTCCGTACCGCTCTCGGCCAGCGCCGCCGCCACCTCGTTGAGGGTGGAGTAGATGTTGCAGGCGGCCCAGCGGCACTGAGCGCCCAGCGCCCCCAGCGTCTCCATCAGCACCTGCAAACACACGGGAATCAGCAAAACTGGGGGTTATCGGCAAATACACCACGGAAATCAGCAAAATCTGGGGGTTATCTGCAAATACACCATGGAAATCTGTAACATCAGGGGGTTATCTGCAAATACACCATGGAAATCAGCAAAACTGGCGGTTATCTGCAAATACACCATGGAAATCAGCAACACTGGGGGTTATCTGCAAATATACCATGGAAATCAGCAAAACCGGCGGTTATCTGCAAAAACACCATGGAAATCAGCAAAACTGGGGGTTATCTGCAAATACACCATGGGAATCTGTAACATCAGGGGGTTATCTGCAAATACACCACGGAAATCAGCAAAACCGGCGGTTATCTGCAAAAACACCATGGAAATCAGCAAAACTGGGGGTTATTTACACAAACACCAGGGAAATCAGCAAAAACTGGTGGTTATCTGCAAATACACCATGGAAATCTGTAACATCAGGGGGTTATCTGCAAATACACCACGGAAATCAGCAAAACTGGGGGTTATCTGCAAATACACCATGGAAATCAGCAAAACTGGCGGTTATCTGCAAATACACCATGGAAATCAGCAAAACTGGTGGTTATCTGCAAATACACCATGGAAATCAGCAAAAACTGGGGGTTATCTGCAAATACACCATGGAAATCAGCACAATTGGGGGTTATCTGCAAATACACCATGGAAATCAGCAACACTGGCGGTTATCTGCAAATACACCACGGAAATCAGCACAACTGGCGGTTATCTGCAAATATACCATGGAAATCTGTAACATCAGGGGGTTATCTGCAAATACACCACGGAAATCAGCAAAACTGGGGGTTATTTACACAAACACCATGGAAATCAGCACAATTGGGGTTTATCTGCAAATACACCATGGAAATCAGCAAAACTGGCGGTTATTTACACAAACACCAGGGAAATCAGCAAATCTGGGGGTTATCTGCAAATACACCACGGAAATCAGCAAAGCTGGGGGTTATCTGCAAATATACCATGGAAATCAGCAAAACTGGTGGTTATCTGCAAATACACCATGGAAATCAGCAAAACCGGGGGTTATCTGCAAATACACCACGGAAATCAGCAAAACTGGGGGTTATCTGCAAATACACCATGGAAATCGGCAAAACTGGGGGTTATCTGCAAATACACCATGGAAATCAGCAACAATTGTGGTTTATGTACAGAAACACCACAGAAATCAGCAAAAATGGGTTTATCCGCAAAAACACCGTGAAAATCAGCAAAAACTGGGGGTTATTTACACAAACACCAGGGAAATCAGCAAAAATCGAGGGTTATTTACACAAACACCATGGAAATGAGCAAAACTGGGAGTTATCTGCAAAAACACCATGGAAATCAGCAAAAGTCGGGGGTTATTTACAGAAACACCAGGGAAACCAGCACAATTGGGGTTTATCTGCAAATACACCATGGAAATCAGCAACAATTGTGGTTTATGTACAGAAACACCACAGAAATCAGCAAAAATTGGGGTTTATCTGCAAAAACACCAGTGGGAATGCCCCATTTGGGGTCAGTTTAGGGGATGAGCAGTGGGAATGCCCTGTGTGGGGTCAGTTTATGGGATGAACAGTGGGAGTGCCCCATTTGGGGTCAGTTTATGGGATGAGCAGTGGGAGAGCCCCATTTGGGGTCAGTTTATGGGATGAGCAGTGGGAATGCCCCATTTGGGGTCAGTTTATGGGATGAGCAGTGGGAATGCCCCATTTGGGGTCAGTTTAGGGGATGCCCTGTTTGGGTTTGGGGCTCTCACCGCTGTCTGTGCTGTGATGTGAGTGCAGCCCACGATCTTGGCCCCAGCCAGGGGCTTCTCCCCCTGAG